AAAAAAAAAAAAAGAGCCCAGGTTTAAATCCCAGCCTAGCCGCATGCAAGCCCTGTGGCTTTGAGCAAGTTGCTTAACCTCACGGTGCCCAGTTCCCTCCACTGGGGATGGAACTTGCTGTGTCGGTCGGGTTGCTCTAAGGCACCAAGAAATTAACCTGTAGAAAGCATTTAGTAAGTGCTTAATAAATGCTGACTGCTTTATAGTCTTACTATTTAACAGCGTTTTCTGGAGCGGCTCTCCCCAGGCCTGTGGGGCAGGGCTATGGCCGGCTGGCTCACCTCAGTCTAGTAGAGGTGATGGAGCACAGCGGATGGGTAGATGGTGGCGGTGTTCCAAAAACCAATTGCCCCAATAAGCAGATGACTTTTCTGAGCCGAAAACCCAGCTCCCCGGACTCTGTTTTCCAGGAGGACTGGAGAGAGAGCAGGAGGCTGAGGAGGAGGGTTCCCTGGGGCTCTTTCCTGAGCAAGGGGCAGGAGAGGGTGGGAAGGGCTCATCCTGGTGTGCTTAGAAATGCCACGGCCCTCAGAGCTCGAACCCGGGACGGCCAGCTCTCAGCGCCCCCGACCATGTAGCCTGCATAGATCCGGGTCACCTTGGGCCCCCTTCTGGCCCATCTTTGCCTAGTGTCCTGGTCAAAAGGAACACATACATTTGACCCCCAAAGCCTTGAAACTCCCCCCCACCACCATAGTATTTACTGAAAAGTTGAGAAAAGGGATGATTTTGTCCCGTAAAACTCAAGCTTCCTAAAGGCAGACACCTCCCTTCCTAGGGCTCCATTTGACCTGGAAGCTTCTCCTCACAGTTTTCCCTGCTGCCTCCCGAACTCTAGTCCAGATCCCCACACTCCTGGCTGCCCAGCTCCTTGGGATGAGGCACGGACTTTGGGCACACGTGAGCGCTCGGCCCTGCAAACTCCCTGTCCTGTTGGGGGAGGAGTAGATGTGCAGTCAGAGCAGGGCCCCTGAGTGCAGAGCTAAGCCACAGGCCCCCGTTTGCTGGGACTGAGGACCTGAGGGACGGCGGTGTCACCCTTGTCTGTCCTCCCCTTACTCGTCTCCATCGTTCAATCATTTGGGTCACTGATCTTTGAACCCTGGACAGGGCTGCTGAGAATGCCGGCTTCCCTGGCCTCCCACACATCCTCCACGAGGATTCCCTCATGCCTCTGTGTGCCTCCCCCGTGACTGCCATCCTGGGGCTGCCCCACCCTGCTGCCCAGCCTGGCCTCTGGTTGTAGCTGTAAGGTTTCTAGTAGGCAGGGCCATTGTGAATGGGGGTTTTTAGTGGGCGGGGCCGTTGTGAATGGGGAACTGTGAGGAGGTTGACCTGGCGCAGGTTCAGCGAGGTGTGAGGGTGCGCCCCAGCCCTGGGTGGGGTGGACATAGGTGGTTGGCTGGCCCCAGTGCACCAGCCCTCTGCAGCCAGGAGGCACCGTGGACCCCCCCAGGAGCTGTGGTGACTTGGCTTCCCTCTTCTGTCTCTTTGTTCATTCTCCCTGACCATTCCTCTGGGGCATTTTCTCCCCCAGGGCTGGCCAGGGCCCCTGCAGCTCTGAGACCTTTTGTGGCTCCCTACCCTCCATGAGAGAAAGCCTAGGCCCCTTAACTTGGCCTTCAGGCCTTTGTGTCTTCACTCTCACTGTCCTTCAGTCATGGGGTCCCCCACGGGAACCTCCTTTGTCTCCCACTTCCATACCTTCGCCCTCTCAGTCCCCCTGGCTGGAATGCCTGCCCTTTTTCCTATCGTCTCTAGTCTTTCCCTGACCGCTCGTTCCCACCCTGGCCAGCCCCCACTGTCCCTACGCTCCAGTCCTTGGCTCGGTCCCTGTCTTGCTGACTACATATTCACCCGTGACAGCCTGAGCAGCCTCTGGCCTCTGCCTGGCACCACAGTTGACCGTTTTGTGCTCAGCCAGCCCTCGGAGGGAGGGACTTTCTGTTTCTCTGAAACGCAGAGGCTCAGGAAGAAAGAGTTGTTCGAGGTCAGGCTGCAGTGGTGATTCATGAATTCACTCAACGAGCTGAGTATTACTATGCACTTTCACACTGCCGACTCTGGAGCCAGAACGCCTGCGATCCAGCCCTCTGCCCTTGCTCGCTGTGTGACCTGAGGCAAGTCACTGGCCATCTCCGAGGCAGTTTCTCAGCTGGACAGTGGAGGGGAGCGAAAGCATCCACGCCGCAGGTTACTGCGAGGATGAAATGAGTCGACGTGGACCGAGTGCCGGTGCCGACTAGGAGCTCAGCCCACGTCAGCTGTCATTCTTCCATGAGGGGTCGGGGCTGGCTTCCGGGCAGGACAGGGTTAGAGCAGCGTGCGAACCATCACCACTCAGACTGTTGCGAGAGCTGTCGCCCCCAGCACAGGCCAGTCTTGGGAGGGCATGACTTGCCAGCAAGAGGATTCAGTAGAGACGCGGCAGGGCCCAGGCAGCTGCCCGCAGGGTGGGCCTGGCTGCAGGGGGTCCCTGGGACCCAGGAGGGCTGCTTCATGGACTCTGGCAGGATGGATGAACCCATGGTTCTGCCATCAGAGAAGTGCCAAAGTCCACCTAGAAGGGTTCCCTTGAGGCCTAGGGCCAGGGCCAGGGCCAGGCTGTGGCTCCACCATGGATCTCTGCACCCCCATGGTCTTGGCTTCTTCCAAACCTGCTCTTGGAAAGGCCCAGTCATTGCTTGTCACCCTGGTGGGACCATAGGCCCCACATCCTGATGTCACGGCTGCACATGAATATCTAGGCATATGACAGACACAAGCCCAGAGAGGGCAGGTTAGCGGTCAGAGAAGCCCAGCAAGGGCACGGGTGGAGCTTGGGACCCTGGCCACCCTGTGCTCTTCATTGCCCTCCCTGTGTCCCCCTAACTTTCAAGCAGTCCCTCCTGAAAGGAGCAGCACTCCCCTACCTCAACCAGGACAGAGTACCAGAGTCTGACTTTATCATTTATTACAAACATGCATTTGTAGGTAAATATAATTGAGAGTTTAAAAAAATACATTAAATAAATAATCGGGCTTGTCAAAGTCCTCAGAGCAAATAAGTTATATACAGACAGTGCAGCTGGGCAGGCCCTTCTCACCAGGAGTGTCCCGGGGTATGAGGGTTTGAGGACTCTGGAGAGGCAGAGCTGGAGAGGGCAGATGGGGGCTGGCCGGGTGCCAGGCCTTGGGGTGACCTGTCCAACCTCCAGGCTGAGTGTCCACATGGCACAGTCACTCCAGTTTGTAACCCAACAGGTAGGACACGTCTTGGGGTGCAGCCACCAGGGTGGCACACTGTCCACACACTTCTCAGCAGGGCGGCAGGCCAGCAGCCAGGCTCTGCGGTCTGGACGCCGAGGGCGGCCCTGGGTAGTGCAAGGGCACAGAGCTGCCATGAGGGAGGCTCCCTCACCAGGACGAGGAAGCCAGAGCTTGCACTGATCCCAGTAACGGGTCTGGCTGGCTGGGACTGGGCCCTGACCCAGGAGGCAGGAGAGGGTCTCCCACGAGCCCAGAGCAGCCGTCTCCTCCTGTCTCCACACGACTTCCTTCTGTACTTTCGTCCAGCACTATCTCTTCCTCCGCGTGGAGGGTGTGGGTCTGGGCCACATCACCGCCATCCGCTCCTGCTCAGCAAAGTGGATTTTGGCTGCAGAAACGTTCCTGGGAATGGAGAAGGGTTGGCTTAGCATCGGGACGCAGGCTGGACAAGTACTCCCCATGACAGGTGGGCACAATGGGGTTATAGCCCGTGCCTGGATCCTGGGGTCCAGCTGCCCTGGGGTAGAAGGTGCCCACAGCCCACAGTCAAGTTCTGCACACCTCTCGGGGTGAGCCAGACCAGGCCTAGAAGCTTCTCTGTCCACAGGGGTTTTGGCAAAGCTGATGTTTAGCATCAAGGCTGCTGGAACAACCAGACACCCAAGAACAGCCCCGCCGGGCTCTCGAGATGTGCCTCCCATTCCCACCTGTTTGCTTATGCTGTTCCTTCCGGGAGGAACTCCTACAAATTGCACCTACTAAAATCCTACTGTTTTTCAAAGTCCAGCTCAGAGTGGGCCAGTCCAAACAAATGCAGGTCCTAGCTGCCCTTGAACTTGGCTGGGACCCTGGCAAAATCCAGACAGCCTCTCCCGGATCAAAGCCTTTGGGCCTGGGCATTCGGAGGCTGACGGCAGCTCCTGGCCCCGGGAGCTCGGGCAAGCTCCTCCACCTCTCTGGGCCCCTTTCTTGGCCCATGAAATAAAAACAGGCTGAACTGCTGGAAAAACGCGTACGAGGTTGGCAAAGAAGCACTTTGCACAGTAGGGAGGCCCGGGGCCTCGCACAGCCGGGTTCTTGCACAGCTCCCACTGAGTGTTTCCGTCCTCAGATGGTTCCCAAGTACTTGCCGGGCCCTGCCCATCCCACCCCCCTGCCCTTTCTCCTGTTTTTCTGCCTCCCCCAAAAGATAAAAACCCCTGAGGGATTAGGTAGGTCTTGGCACTGGTCAGCCCCGAGGAGACTTCGGTGACAGAGGGAGGAAAGGCCCAGACCACCAGGGATCCCAGGTGTGTGTCCCTGTGGGCCGCCTTGCACGCATGACACTAGTCTCACCCCACAGCAGCACCAAGGGTTGGGCAGCGCCACGCCCCACTTCGAAAATAGGAACTTGAAGCACAGAGGAGGTGACAAGCCCAAAGTCACAAAGTTGGCTTATGGCCCAGCTGGGGTTGCAATTGGCCAATCTCTGCAAAGGCTGCCCTTTCAGCCACTTGAGTGCCCGGCGGTCTGGGCAGTGCGGACGGAGCAGGCGGGGCAGTCGCCCCTGCAGACTCCCCTAGGTGGGAGTGCTCCATTAAGACAGCGCTGCAGGAGGCACCGGGGTGCTTCTGAGCCATGAGTCCACAGACTCTCAAAAAGCGCCCTTTGAGGCCTGGTGGTAACAGAGAGCGTGGTGGGTAAGAGCCTAGACCCTGCATCGGCCAGCTGCCACTGACGGCTGTGTGACTTTGGCAAGTGACTTCACCTCTCTGAGCCTCAGTTCTCGGCTGCCTCAACACAAAGAATGCGGGGATGCAAAGGTGTTCAGAAGGCATGCGCGGGCCAGCCCTACCTCAGCCTCCGGAGCAGTCCTCCAGCGATGGCCCGCGCCTTGTCGGTCTGGGACTGGTGTGCAGGGGCCTGGCTGCCCGGGAGCGCCTCCCCCTCAACCCTGAGAGAACAGCATTAGGGCCCAGATGAGGGGCTGTCCAGAGCCCTGACACCTGGCTGCAGGCCCAGCCCCCACCCCACCCGGCAGGAGCAGATCCATTTCCACCCAGCACCTGGGCCCTGGCTTTCCCAGGCGGGGAGGGGACTGAGGAAAACTGAGCTACCCGGAATGCGTTCTTAGCCTCAGAAAGAGGCAGCTGGGTGGCCGGCCTTCCCAGAATCCAGCCACCTGCGGCTGTGGGGAAACTGAGGCCAGGCTGGAGCCATAGCTTGGCCCCAGAGGAGGAGCTTCTTGTAAATCATCAAGGGAACTGGAGCCTGCGTCTTTGAGCCAGTTCCTACTGGCTCGAATGCTCTGTGCGGAGGAGGGAACTGTCTCTCATCCCTTTCGCAGATGGGAAGACTGAGGCCCAGGGAGGTTGGGAGGTTTGACAAAGGCTCCCAGCACCTCTGTGGCATCCCTGGAATGGTGCCATGACTCCCAGCTCCCGATGTCCTTCCTCCTCTGAAGTCCCCTGAGTCTCAGGTCACGAATGAGAATCCAGGGCGACTTGCTCAGGAGAACAAGGCCGATGACCCAGCACTCCTCTGGTTCTGCAGTCTGACGGGACACATGCTGCCCCCTCGTGGGGTCTGCACTGCCTCAGCTATCACCTGGGGACAGTCCCTCCTGCCCAGAAGTAAGGACAAGTGTTCTCTCTTTTGGAAGCCCTAGAGCTGGGCAGTGGGAAAAACTCAGGGGTCCTATGCTGCCGAGGACCCAGGGCCACCTATGGGCGCCCCTAGCCACTCTGCTCCTCTGCCAGGCACCCTGACACGCTCCCAGCACCCTGCGTCCCGGGCGGGTCTAGGCTAGCAGCCACCCCTAGCCCCTGCAGGCTGGGTGCCCACCTACCAGGGCCTCTGATGGCAGAAGGTGGCACAGGCGCGGTCCCTGGCACTGGAGCACTCACAGCGCCTTGGCAGGGAGCGGCGCCGGCGTCTTGGCGGGTTTCCCAGGCCGTACGGAGCTGTCTGTCTGTGGGAGGGCAACCAGTGAGGTGGTGGTACAGAGGATGGAGGAGAGAGCGAGGGAGGGAGAGAGAGAGGATTCGATAAACCGTGACCACTGGCAAGCAGGGATGGTCTGCGCTGCTCAGTGGGATGGCCACCTATGCCACCAGAGTGGCAACGAAAGGTTACAACCCCTGACCTCACGAAGGCCCACCACTAACGTCCTGGGCTCCTCCTCAAGGACCCAGGCAGCCTGGATGAGACCCCTGCCTCCGGGCCTCTGTACCCTGGCTGGGCTCAGAGAGGTGCCCATCCTGGGCATGAAGGAGGTGGCATGTGTAGTCTCCCCCGGAGTCAGGAACTGGAGAGTGCTCCCAGACCCTCTCTCCTCCCAGGCAGGACCTGGCTGGCTCTCCTAGTCTTAAAGAAGACCCTCAACTAACCCTGGAGGGAGGGCAGACAGCACCCCAGGGGGTAAACACACGGGGAAGCTGCCCCCACCTGCTCACCACATGCCTGCAGGGGTTGAACTTTGACTTAAAAACACAGTGAGTGAGTGTGTGAGTGTGAGTGCGTGTGTTCTGGTGGGATTGATTTCAGAGTCTGACAAGGCGGGCTGGGACAGGGCCGCAGCCCCGTGGCTGGTTGGACCAGCACCTTCGGGTGACAGAGCTAATTTTAGATGGTGTGGTTGGAGCTGTAACGACTCCAGGTGGACCCGGCACGCAGGGACTGGCAGTGTTCCCGCCCTGAGCGAGTGTTTGGATGCGGATTAGCTCCACACGCTTACGTGCCAGGCTTCTCTTGCCTTTTGCAATTTGGGGAAGGGAGAAAAAAACATACAAACACAGAGAAACTATAACGAGGGATGCGGCGGCCTGGAGGCAGCACCGGTGCAGGACAGACAGCGCTGGTCCCACTCTCCCTGTCAGGTAGCACAGAGCAGGTTCCTCTGTCATTCGGGGACAACGGCACTACCTGCCTCCCGGGGAGGACGGGGACTCATGGGAGGATGGTGCACGTGCAGGACTTGGCTCAGGGCCTGGCACGGTCAAGACTTGGGTGCTGTTATTCATTGTGTTATTTTTGGAAGCCCATGCAGAGGCAACATGGCACAGTGGGTGTGAGCTCTGGCACCCCGGCACCTAGAATGGAGTCTGCCACTACTCCTTCCTGTGTGAGCCTGGGGAGGGCACCCAACCTCTCTGAGCCCTACTGTTCTGATACGGAAAACGGAGCCAGTGCTTTCTTACCAGGCTGCTGTGAGGATTCCCCAGAGGCAGCCCTCCACAGGGCTCAGGTGCCCCCCCCCCCGCCACCGTGGGAGTTGAAACACTCACCAAATAACTGTTGCTATCAGCCTGACCCCAATATCTAGAGGTCCAGGGAGAGCTGGACTGTGCCAGAGCCCCCCTCGCAGCCCCCTGCCCCTAGCAGCCCCCACCGGACACCCGTGGATGCTCACCCGGGAGTGTTCACCCAGATGATATCCAGGTGGCAGAAGTAGACGCACTCCTTGTCGAGCCAGGAGCTGCAGGAGCAACGGCGAAGCCGCAGGTGGGCGCCTTGGGCACGGGGCGAGGGCTCCAGTTGCTCCAGGGTGGCAGCAGCCTGGCCTTTCCCTGCATGCACAGGAGGGAGAGAGAGGCAGAGGGATGGGTCAGGGCACCTGGCATGACCCGGGATAGGGGACCCACTGGGCCCCTCCTCTTGCACAATTGAGGAAGTTGGCGCTCTTGCTGCTCAGGAGTTCTGGGCCAGCCCCGGGAAGCCCCGCGGGCAGATGGGAAGGGCCAGCAGCAGCCCTGTGCCTGTGTACCCTGAGCGTCACAGCACCCCCTGCCGCTGGGCTCCTGCCCCTGTGTGCCCCCAGCAGGCTGGGACAGCACAGAGCCCTGGGGGGGGGACACCAACCAACAGACCCTGGGGGGCTGCAGCAGCAGGTGAGGCCAGGGTGGCTCACCTTCGTGCAGAGCCAGGAGCAGGGCTAGGGCGACGGAGCACCAGACGGTGGGCATGCAGATCATAGCGGCAGGCGAGGAGTGTGCGGCTGGGCTGAGCAGGGAGCTCCTGGAGCCAGTGTCCTGCTGCTAACCGAGCTGCTAGCTCACTGCCTCGCTGCCCTGGTTGCCTCTTATAATACCAGGCACTGCGCCCCGCCCCGGTGGGTGGGAGGAGGGTGGGAAGGAGTGTGCCAGGCCTGCGCTCCTCCCTCCCTACCCAGAGCACCTCTGGGAGTCCTACACTCCCTTGCGGCCAGCCTAGTACCCCTTGCAATTCCACTGGACTTTTAAAAGTCACCCCCCAGAGTGCCGGAAGCCGCCTCTCCCACTCTGTAACTGTTCCACATGTTTCGCCCAGAGCCGGGAGCTTAGAGAGGGAGGTCCTCAGAGCAATACCCTCCCTTCTCCTTGGAATACACCCCAACATCCTCCTGCCTGCCCACTGCCAGCCAGGCTGAGAATGCTGTCTATGGTGTGGGAGGAGAGAGAGGCCCACTCAAAGCTGTGTGGCCTTGGGCTAGTCAGAGCCCTCTCTGGGCTTGCTTCCCTCGCTGAAGGACACAGCTCACGCCTGACCTCTGACCAGCCTGGAGTTGCCTCATCTCCACCTCACCCAGGAAGTGCCCCCTCCTCCCCCACCACCCTTCTGGTCCTTCCAGAAGCTGCTCAGCTATGTAGCCCTGACCAAGGACATCCCTCCTGGCCTCAGTTTCCTTGTTTGCAAATAAACCCAAGCCGGGAGAAGGGTACGTTTTAAGCTGATGGGCTCTCTGGCTCCCTTGAGGAAGAAGGCACCTCCAGAACCCATCCCAGACCTTTCCAGACCCCTGGAGGCACATGCACAGCACGCCCCTTGAGTAGGCTGCACCCTGGACATGATGGGATGTCTGGGCTCCCCTCCGCTGCCGCTGTTTGCAAAAGGCATGATGGCAGGGAGGCGGGGCTCCTGCGGGCTGACATTCGCTCCTGTTCCCTGCACTGGCCCAGAAGCTGTGGCTGAGATGAGAGCAGGACCACAGGGGTGCAAAGGGGGCTGTTGTGGGACAGGCAGGCACCTTCTCTCCATGGGGACCCTGTCTCCGGTGTACCAGGAAAGGCCCTCTCATTTCTTGGAATTCCCAAGACCCGCACTCCGGGGCGGCCTGAGTCACGGCATTGGGGCTTATTTCCCTGCAACCTCAACGCTGTTCAGAGCTTTAGAGAAGCCTGGAGCCTGCCCCACGCGTGCTCGCTTGGCACGGAGCCCTGCGGGGTGGGGGGAAGAATGAACACGCACCTGCCGTGAACTGTGAACCCAGGAGCCCCATTTCCAGTTTCTTATTCAGCAGCTCTTTTGTTATTAGACACTTAAAAAAGGGAAAGGAGATGACCACGAGGAATGGCCAATCGTGCCTCTTCCTAGGGTGTGTCCAGAGCAGGTGTGTGTGTGTGTGTGTGTGTGTGTGCGCGTGCACGTGCATGCATGCATGTGTGTGTGTGTGTGAGAGATCCTGAGAAAGCCAGGCAGAACAGCAGCGACACCTGTCAATACTATCATCCTTCCCCCAGGAGGGGTCTGGCTATAGAAAAAGCCAGGATGTTTCCTGAGCACCTACTGTGTGCTCAGGGCACTTTCGACCCCTCCTCCCAACAACCACAGGAGCAGGTGCTGGCATCATCGGGTGTCAGCTCCCTGACTGCCCCAGGGGAGACTCAGGGAGAGCAGGCCCCATTCAGGCCGCTGCTGGTGGGAGCTTCGTGTGGCTTCAGCCAACCACAGTGGCTTCTCCTGTGGTGCTCTCCCTCCCCCCACAGGGTGCCTCTCTAAGAATTCAGAAGAATATTTCTGGAATGAGGTGAGCAATGCTCCCGGTCACTTCCATCTGCCTCTGAGGGAATATAAATACGGAATTAAGCAGGGTTAGCAGGGTGGCAGGGTGGGGGGGGGGCTTCACACTGGGGGGGATTCAAACTACCGAACCATGAAGAGAAGCAAGAAGCAGGTCAGCAGGGAGGGGAGGGGTCCGGTGGGAGGACCACTCGCAGGGAGGCAGATAAAGACAGGTAGGGAGAGAGGACCAGGAAGCTGCCTCACAGGAGAAAGAATTCGGATTTGAGAGCGGGGAAGAGAAAGCGTGCAGGGCTCGAGAAGGAAGGTTCTAACGTCTAATCTTTACAAAGTGAAATGCCTGCCCTGGACAATAGGGAACTAGAGGCTCCGAGTCTGGGAAACATAATAGAAGAATTAAATGGCCCCGGAGACAGGATCCCTGCCCGTGTGAAAGGAGGATGACGACAGGGCAGGGGCCGCTGCCCGGGCCACGCGGGGTCGGCGCAGGAAGCTGAGAGCTGGGTCAGCTCCGGTTTCCCCCCATCCCTGCCCTCAGCTCCAGCTGGGAGAGTAGGCTCCTGTGAAATGGAGAGGCCTGGCCCGGGAACCTGAGCGAGCCCAGGTCTTAGGGGATGAGCTCGTTCCGGGAACAGGGCTGCCCCACTGACCAGCGTTGTTTTCCAGGTAGAGGAAATTAAGCTGAGTTAAAAATAGCCAGCCCCCTCCCCCTGGATCTCTTAGCCCAGGCCCCACTGTCACCTCTGCCCCTCCTTGCTGGTCTGACTGCACACCCCTCCCTGTCCCCTATGACCATCCTGGCTACACTGCCCTGTCCCTTCTAGGTGGCCTGGCCGCAGGCTCCTCCCTGTCCCCGGTGACTGTCCTGGCTATGCTGGCCTGTCCCCTCCTGGCATGGCTGCACACCCCTGCTCCTGTGGCCGGCCGGCTGCACAACCCCCTTATCCCACCACTCTGGTCCCCGTCAACTGCCCCAGCTAGCCCTGCTGCACCCCCCACCCCCAATTCAACCAGAGCCCACCACTTGCCTGAGTTTGTAAAGGCTGCAGGGAGAGGGGCTGGGGTTCACCGAAGAGCACCCATCTGAGTTGGGAGGGGGTCGTTCTGCAGACAGAATGATTCGTCCCTCTCCGCTCAACGCCAGCTCTACACCCATCCAAGGAGAGCTCAGCTCGGTGGGGAGGGAGGCTGGCAGAAGAGAGCAGTCGGGGTGTGTATCTGGGGCAGATGTTGTGCGAGAAAACACCTTCTAGAAATCCCCTGGAGTTTTCACTCCCACTGGTAGATGCGATTGCTGAGGTCCAGGACAAGGAGCCATCTGCAGAGTCAGTGATGGGGACAGGCAAGCCCCTGGCTCCTAGTGCAGCCCCCCCCCCCCCCCCCAGTACCCTGCGAG